GAGCAAGTCAGGAATGGAACTGGAAATTATTCCATTCCTCTCAATTCCAAGCCTCTTTCAGTCAGCACTTTATCCAAATTTTTTTTCTCTCAGCTTTTTTTCAAATGGTTTATGTTACCAGGGCTTCTCTGATTCTCTATGAGGCTTCTTTTCTCTATCTCTATGTCCTTCTGAGTGTTTTTACCTCATCTCTTTCTCTCTCATGGACATGTACTTCTCTACCAAACCAATGAACTGGTCCTATATTTGCTCTCTGTCTCCAGAGAAACTCTTTGAACCACATGATTTAGCTTTTACTAAGGCTCTGATGGTGTTTTGGGTGGCGGCTCCTAAGGTTTCAGCTACTTGGTTCCATAAAGGTGCTTAATTGTTTCTTACATTTATTCTGAATGAAGGGAGGCTTAAATTAGGTTTTTGGTCTATCTTCTGGTATAACAACAGTAGTCATACTTCAAAATCTTTTTGCACTTATCATTCTTCAAATAATTTATATTGTGATAGGGATAAAATATGATATGCATAATTCTCTCATGTGTGTATAATTCATACAAGCATTTGGTCTATATAATGTGTGTAAAATACATTTTGTGCTGTCAACAATATTTTTTTATTTTATGTCCCTAACAAGTATATTTGTAATGCTAATAATTACCAGAGGCATCTAGATGAAATTCTGACCTTTTTTACAACCATAACATCTTGTAGTAAAACTCTGAAAAGGACATAATGGCTTGAGAATTTTTTTTTTAAACCTCAAGAGAAAATATCTTAAGGAAGCAGTAGTAAAGATCCATGGAGAAATGAAGCTGAAATCTCATGAAGCATCAGCCTCTTCAGTACTCTTTATCTCTGAGCATGAACTTTCTATAATACTCCGCCTCCCATCTGGAGGGTTTGAGACAGCATGGAGTTAGAGTTAATTCTATTTCTAATAAACTTTCCCTGAATGCAGCCTATTAATTTGCATCCAAACACCCAGTTCACTTCTCCAGTTGTGCCTTCTGAATAAGCTTTTGTGTATGAATTTTTGTTATATTCAAAACTATCTAAGGTCTTATATCAGTTTTAATTCATTTAAATACTTACATCAATTTAAGCTAAGATTATCTAAATGTTACTGTAAAATGCATTCAAAAATACCTAGCTGAATCTCTTGGGACCAAAGAAGCTGAGTCAAATCCTCCAACTCCTGCTTTTTCTTTGCAAGACAGTGAATTATTTGCCCTGGACAAAACGCCATAATACCACTCAAATACAGTTTTTCTCCTTCACTATGCCCAATTGTATTTCCCTCTATGAGAGGCAAGCTAGGATCTTGTATTTACTTAATATTTGCATAGGTACAAAACTGTTATTTATTTTACGGATGTAAAATCCCATTTAATTGGCTAACCAGTTAAACATACTCTTTAACCGGTTAACAGATTAAAGGGGGGATGCGCTCCAGCCAGTGCCTCCCGGCTCTGGCAGAACACCTCTTCCACCCCATGCTGTAGGCAGGGGCATCTCCAGCTGAGCCAAAGCAGCTCCTGTCTGTGCCCACCACCGCCACAAGCAGGGGCTGTACTTGCCAGGTTTCCGGAGCAGCCCCTGCCTGCAGCTCGCCAGGGCTCCCCAGAGGCAGGGGCTGTTCCATCATCCCAGTCAGAAGAGCTCCTGCCTGTGGGGTGCCCTAGCTTGCCACAGACAGAGACTGCTCTGTGGGATGCTGGAGCAGCCCCTGCCTGCAGGGCACCTGAGCCCGCTGTAGACAGAGGTTGCCCTGTCAGCAGCACCCCCTCACTCCCCAGAGGAGCTACTCCAGACTCACTGGTTAAACCTTCACATCCCTAATTATTTTCCCCTTTGAAATACATTCATGCGTGCCAGATGATCATTTATACGAATACCTTTCTTTATTGTATATGCATATTAGTCTTCCTTTAATACACATAATGACAATAAATATACTGGCTACATCTACACTGGCATGATTTACCGGAAACGCTTTTAATGGAAAAGTTTTCCGTTAAAAGCATTTTTGGAAAAGCATGTCTAGATTGGCAGGACGCTTTTCCGCAAAAGCACCTTTAGTTTCTGTGGTGCAATTCACCATGGTGTCAAAATACCATAGAGTTTGCTGACAGTGTAAGAAGAAAGACTGGACAAAATACGTAACAGAAACTCAAGATACTGAACTAAAGGAACTGCTAAAAAATATTATAAGCTGTTTCATTAAAATTACATTTCCCCTGAAGTCATTACAGCTCCTATTTTAGATTACATAGGCTGAAAGGGAAGCAAGGAAGGAAAATACATCTTTTTCCTCATAAATCAGATTAAAAATGTTCAGTTTAAAACAGGGGCTGGCAACCTTTTCAAACCAAAGAGCCAAACTACAACAAAGTTCAGAACAATTGGTCAACAAAGACCTGTAATAGAATGCCCCCTTGCATGTCTGAAAATATAAACTTAATACAGTAAACTTCCGATAATCCAGCACTTTTAGGACCCAGGGAGTGCCGGATTATCAGATATGCCGGACTATCAGAAAGGGGTGGTTATGAGGGACCTGGGGTGGGGTGAGGGGAGATGCCACCCCAGATCTCTCATAGCCCCCCCTTCCAATAGTCCAGCTCTGCCCCAGGCGTCCCTGATTCAGCCGCTGCTGGTCAGTTTC